GTTGTAGTTATTCTTATACACACTTCTATGTTATTTCCGTTAAATATAAAATATCTCATATGTGTGATTGATTACACAAGGAATTAAAACGAACTAAGCAAATAAACAAAGCTGATTATTATTGTTGGTCTTCCAGGCATGCTAGACTGATCTGCCATTTTGTCCGATCCAAAATACGACAAGTTTAAAATCTCTATCAAGTAATTAATGCAATCGAATTAATCGTTCGACGTTTCTTGGTGAAATATCGGAGAGCCTTCAAAGTACAAGAGCATCATCATCCACAAGCTGGAATAGTAGGATCTAACGGCAATGATGCGTCTCTAGCACACATATCCGGATTAATGTTTATGACTCCTTCACCCTGCCATGTTTTGTTATGCGGTTAAAAAAAATTGCAACTTAAAACCGATAAAAATTATATTCACTTGAAAGCAAATTTACTTCGTTCAGTACAAATATATGGATCTTGTGATCGACCAATCCGGCCAGGTTTTAGGTGCACCAAAACCTACCCTATTAAGAAAACTATGTTAGGTTTTTTTTACCTTGGCTATGTTTCTGAAGTAGGAGGTTGTGTAGTTTCCAGTTGGGAACAAGGCTTCAACAATGTCAGCCAGTACAAGATTTGGTTGCGAGATTGCTCCGTCGTACCAGTCTTTTCATTTGCAAAAGCCAAAAGACGATTTTAGCTGAAATCAAGAGAAAATAAAGGATGTTCTAAGGCTTCCTTACCAAGAATTGTTCCGTTTCTGACCCTTTTGTCATATCTCCAAATGCTCTGGTTCGAAATAAACGAAAAACAGGAGTTATCATCCACGTTTATGTTCTCCAAGAACGTTGTCTGTGTGTAATTCTGCGGGTCAGACGATAGTGTTTCATCGATTACCGCATCCACAGTCTGTTAAATTGAAGTTATGAAGCTAAGCAACAAAGTTTTTATGGTCATCCGAGAGATGAAAGCAGAACAAGTAAGATCCGCTTACGCATAAAATGGCATGTAGTGCTTCCAAATCATCAGGATCAGAGACATTGTAAGAGACCTTGTTTATAGATTTGTCGATATTTTCACCACCCGCATCTTCGACAAACTGTTGTATTTGGGGGTACATAATGTTCAGTTTCATTGATGTTTCCAGATATTGAAACGAAGAATTGGAAGTGCCTAAATCTGAAATGCGTACCTTGAGCTTATGTGCTTCCTTAGTAAAACACCAAACACCTCCCTTCAAGAGGAATCATATAAGTTATTAGTCTAAAACCATAAATACACATTCATCTTCGAATTATAAGAAACATGACCATTTATTAGGGCGGCAACTTGTGCATTCAAACATCACTCCTGATTACATTTTCTTATCTCAAAAAAGTTTTCAATATGGACCCCAAAATTTTCTATACAAAACTTTATAGCATAGATCTACGTCTGATATAAAACTTGCATAGACCTTCAAAATAAGTTGAAATCGTTCTGATAAGAGCGCAAACCGAAGGTTTTCATACATTTTTATCGTACTCTATCCAGGCTACAATTGGCTTGAACGATTTTGTTTTGTTGGCTGCCATTTGGGACAAACAAGTATAGCTTGCTTTTACCTGCAAGATCCATAACATACTTTAAAAACAACAAGAATAGGCTCCATAGACAGATCTCGCAGAGGTAAGAGCGGATTAGCACTCACCACGTCATAGACTTGATTGGCTTTTGTTTCAAGATTGGTAAATGCTCCAAGGAATTTGATCCACTCCGCTCGCTTTTTTCAAGATTACCAAACCAGCATAACCTCAAATCAAAATGTGAAAAGTTGACAACTTTTTTTTTAGGTTTAATTCTATGCCAAGTTGGCAATTGGTACCTGAAGAGGTGTGCCTTCGCTGAGTGGAAAAAAGTTTGCAAAATTGCAAGTTTGAGGTTGATCGGTGTCACTGATGAAATGCGCTGCGAATTGAGACAGAAGCTGCTCTTGTTGCTCACCTTTCTCAAGCTTAACTACTTCTCCTGCCTCAAACAGTTTCAGAAGACAAGGTGAAGCTACTGCCTCCGATGTTATTCCCTTTAAGGTCCCTAGTAATCCGAGTAGCTGCTAATCGTGAAACAAGAATCCTATTATCTTTAGCCCATTCTAAAGCGAGATCCTAAATAATTGTTTGCACCAGGTACAACCAAACTCTAGAGCTTATGTTTCTTGAGATGCTAAAACCGTGGATTTAACACAACACCAAATCTTGAAGTTATCTAGAAAGGAGTATTTACCTCGAAGAAAGAAACCGGAACGCCTCCTGAATTAGCAAAAACAGAGAGATCTAAAACACAGAGTCATTTTAAACAAAGGAAAATAACAGGGGAGAAAGACAGAGCATACCTGGAGAAGATTGAGTGTCAACTGAGTAGTTAATTAGTGGAATCACATAGGATTTTATCCTGGAAGTACAATACTTTGTCCGAACCGCCATTCTAGAAGTGTTCTACATATTACATTTTATTTTCAGACAGGAAACGAAGAGAAAGAAAACTTTGTGAGAACAATAAGGACCTGAATAAGGAGATAACTCTTGCCATCAATGGTGTTCTTGATGACTTTGAAGGTCTGTCCATAATAAATGTGAAAATTTACAGCATCTTCCACCTTTGAAATGCTTCCCACTTTTACATTGGTGGAAGCTCCGTTTGATTCTCTCACCACCATCCACCACATTACTAACAACAGTACCAGAGGCCAGGAACAAGGCCATGAAGACATTATCACTGGTAATTAGGCTTGGTGAAGAAGAAAGGAGATAAAATCAGCTTAACCCTTTTGGAATTTAGATTGGCTCTTCTTGAATATTTGTGGGTTTGAGAGAGAAGAGAGTTTTCGATTATTTATTACTTATTACTATTTTCTTTTGGCACGAAATACTTTTTTATATGGTAGAAACTCGGTTGGAATGTACTTTTTGTTTTTAGTTTACTAGATTTTGATCCACGCTAAGCGTTAGATTAAATAATTAAATATATTTTTTAATGAATTTAATATTTAGACATGTATTCTAGCATTTATAAACACACAAAAAATGATATGCATATAATAAAACTAAATTTTGATCAAACATAAATATATTTTATCTTTGTTATTTTTTTATTTCTTCCATCTATTAAAAATAATCATGAATTTTTGTTTTTAAATATTTTAATACCGCTTTTGACTTGGATTAAAAAATCTAGTATTATTGAAAAAAAAAAGATATTTTCAAATATTTTCTATATTCCTTAAATAAAATTTTCTATATTAATTACCACATATTCGTTATTTATATATATTTGTTATTAAAAAAATTTAATAATTTTTACTAATTTTTATTAGGAAATAAATTCCTTAAAACTCTCTTAGAATGATATCTAAGATTTTCACATAGTGTCTCCTCTATTAATATATAGAGGATTTTAAACAGTTTTAGTATTCAGCTGGAATATTTGCCTCACTCCACTTTCTTGCTTGAGATTAAAATTGTATGCAAACACTATTTTTAATTAGAAACACTAGTACCATATTAAAAAAAAAAAAAAGAACACCAGTACCATAATGCATATTTCATAAATATTATATTAGTTCAGTGGCTGTATGGCCATTTTTATAATCTGTCATATGGAAGCTCGAACCCAAAGTATATGTTTACTACCCAGAGTATTGTGTATTTATTCTCGTTCTTGGAAAAGTTATATATTGACATTAATATCATGGCGTCATAGCTAGGTAACATTTGCAACTATAGGTTGAATAACAAATATGAAAAAGTTTGCCAAAAAAAAGTATGAAAAAGCAATTATCGTTGTGAATTTTTGATACAAATAAAGTCACATTTAGACTAAAACTCCCGGCTTAGAAAAATGGTTATATAGGCTTTCTGTTTGTTAAGTACTAGATTTTGACCCACGCCAAGCGTGAAATTAAATATTAAAATATATTTTCTAATCGATCTTAATATTTAGATGTATATTCTAATATTTATAAATATACAAAATGATATGTATTGTGCATAAATGTAATAAAATTAAATTTTTTACTAAACATATTTCAAATTCATATGCTTTGATCAATTTTGCATAAAATATTAAAACTAATGCTAATATTATTTATTTCAATTTATTTGAAGTGTCAGATTGAGTTTTATTATTTGTGTAAATAGTAGAGTATGCGATAAATCAAATAAATTTTAGATTTATATAAATTTTCCGGACATAACAAACAAAAAATATATGTTTTCTAATAATAAAATATAAAAATATTTGTAAGTGTATTTATCATCTACAAATAAATGATATTGTTACAAATATAATAATAAAACTCTTTTTAATATATCAATTAATATATAGAGGATTAGTGACATTTTAAAGAAAATTTCAAAATGATGATATTTTTGAAATGTGACATTTCTAAAAAATTATCTGCATTTAGTCTAAATATCATGCAAATTAAATTTGGTAAGATAAAATATATTATCAATATATTTATCTAATCTGGAGATAAATTTATCTGTATTTTTCTTGCTTCCATATTTGTTTAATAGTTATATATTGTATATGTGATATAAATTTAGTGTAATTATTTACACAATAATGTTATTAAAAAATTTTAATAGCTTTCTTTAAAAGTTCCTTAAAACCCTCTTGGATGATACATAAGATTTTCACTTAGTGTCTCCTCTATTAATATATAGAAGATTATTAATATATTGATTTTTTTTTGATAAATAATATGTTGATTTTTTCGTAATATTTTGATTTTTTCTTGTTAATCAATGTTAAAGATTGAATTAGTTTTGATCATGAAGCAAATATAACATAAAAACAGTTTCT